TTTTTTTTTTTTCTTTTTTTTATATGTGTAAAATGAATGACTCTTGATTCTTTTTAGCAGAATATGCTAGCTGATAGAATCATGTAACATCAGCATAGGGAAAATAACTAAAACATGACATTGTTTTGTTTCAACTGCCCAATTTCTCGTTCTTCTCCTAACTCGAATTTGTCGCTGAGGCTGTAGATGCTGTTTCGAAATCTGGAAATCGAAAACAGGAAAAAGAGCCAAAATCTTTGGGAAAAAAAAAATTCCTTCTAAAGAAACAAAATTAAAAAGGTTCATGAGATTGTGGTGGCAAAGGATGAAGGTAGAAAGTGCCACCACGGGGAAGAAATGTTGGTGGTCATGGCATGAGTTTTGTCAAGTATTTATTCTCAATAATGAATACTAATGGTACATCCAAACACGATTTATTTTTTCTCTCTCTCACTTTTTGTCTTTTGTCATTAACTGATGGAATGACGTCTAGGAATGGATGTGCTTGCCTTTTAATCTAAGCAAATAACGAAAATCCTGCAAGTTTTTGCACTGATTTTTAAAATATAAATATTATCAAAGAGTCCTTTGGAGGCCAAGTGCAACAGTGGCGACAGATGTAGTAGTGCAGTTGGTTCAATGGTCCTACTCGGCTACTCCTTTGGTTGAGTAGATTTATCCCCTTCCAACCACATCAAATATTATTCTTAATTAACAGCTATTAGGTATTATGGAAGTCAAAGCATAATTGAAAAGCTAGATACGTTTCCTGAAGGGACATGAAATTTGGACACACTTGTTTCTTTTTTTTTTTTTTCTCAAGGACATCTCCAGACTTAATGGGACAAAAGGAAAAACAGCCCACAAAAAGGAATTCTCAGATCACCAGATTCACCCCTCAACACTGAAGTTCCCTTGAACATTATGACTGACTTTCTAACCAAAACAATCACTAATTTTTAGCATTTACACAAAAGACTATCTAAATAAAATTCATGGTTGAATTCTCAAGAAAACAAATACCTGATTTTTAGTATTTAAAAATTCAAACAAATCATGTCTATGTATTTACCAATTACAATGTATGACGTTCATGGGACTACTACTATTTAGTAATGTCGTGAACTTTTCATATTACCTATACTAATTCTGAATTCACTAATTCATTCCTCCATTGTCTTCTAAACAGGACAACTAAGAACGGTTCCTTCCCAAATTTAACTGGAGATCAGTCCATCATACTCAATTTAAGAGAGTCCTCATCAAGCACAATCTTGAAACAATAATTGATCGCTAATTTTGTCCTCAAAAGCTCGTTTCTCACTCTGCATCTACTAAAAAATGAATGATGACAACTAATTCTCACCAACACACTTCGAAAGGCAGGAGTACCCAAATGACAACAGTATGTACACGTACCTAAAGGGCGTCAAACTCCCCAGTAATTCACTATGGTCCGTGGAAAAGGTCCCATTTGAGGAGGATACAGCTCAGGTTTTCCAAACCATGCTATTTGCTTTCAAATTCATATTTGAATACATTGAGCTCTATTTCACTTTTTAATGCAGTGCTTAGCGAAAGGATCACCTTACAAAATTATTAACCATAACTGAAATTGTGCTCCCTCACGCTAGAGTTTGTAATCTGTACGTTCTGCATTTTCTGTCCAAAAAGACTTGACCAATTTTCCATACACAACAAATTTATCTTTAAATAAAAAGTGGGACAGGCAATCAGCAAAAGAAAGCAGAGAGATGGATTTATACAAAAGTAATATGACATACCTCGATATAGCGGCCACAATTCTGGATTGAACCTGAGACATGCCAATTTCTTCTTGAATAAAGAACACATAGGAGGTTAAAGCTTTATAATAAAGAATAACACTCAAAACTTGTTTTTCATTAACGAAAGGAAAAACAAAAATGAGAGATACAGAATTCAGTTTTTTTATCCACCCCTACCTACATTCTGGCTATGACGGTATGAATTATAATGTTATTGGCAGGGTTCCAAAAAGCACGTTTAACACGTCACATCTTGATAGTAAGAGAGAAATTAAGCTGTCAACTTGGCTAAATGTTCATAGGCGTGCTTTATTAATTTTTTTCTTATTTCTTGTTTTTTCCTTTTTTTTTAAAGCCTTTTATTTAATTTAGTTTCAAATTTTTCTTTTGAAAATTGTATAATTGACTAATTGTAGGAATTATTAAGTAAATATAGTATTTTATAATTTTAAATGTTTGTTATGTATGATTTTAATTATTAAATAATTTTTACAATGAATAAAATTTTAAAATAATATTAAAAATAAGAAAAATATTTTTTTTGCGTTTAGGCTTGTAAAGCTTGACCCTCTCTATCTAGTCACGTTTTATAAAATACTGATTATTGGTATGACCAAGTTTAAATCCATGTTCAACCTCATTTCTTAAAATTCGTTTTTCTTAAAAGCATTTTTAGTCACACATTTTATGAAAACCATAATTTTTAGGGATAACTGCAGTAGAGACCCCAAACCTTTCAAACACTTGTAGACTTTTTTCCAACCTTTCATTTATTGCAATTATCACAAACCTTTCAAAACATTGCAGTTGAGGTCCTATGAATGGAATCCTTCCATTTGTCTATTAGTTAATCAAAAATTTATATTTGATCACATTTTTAATATTTCAAAAAAGGGTAAAATGGTAATCTTATAATATTGTCATGTAAAATTATTAAAATAATTAAATAAAACCAAAAAAAGGAAAAGAAAACAGTATCTTCTTCTTCCCCCCACACCACCACTACCCCTACACCTACCTCAACTCCACCCCAAACCCAAAATCTGAGTTAAGAATCTCCACCAATCACCAGCCAACCACCACCATCCACCCCAACTACAATCGCCTCTAGTCTTCATATTCAATTTCCATCACAGCAAGAAGAAGATCAAGAAGCACGCTTCACCTTCAAAAAAATCAACGCATCATTTGGTTTCAGAACTTTTCAATTTAAGTATAATTCAACACCAAACAATACAGCTAGAGCTGACTGCAACTCTTATCTTACCACCAAATCAACGCATCATTTTCAGGTGCATAAGAAGCAGACCCCATTGAGGTCCGAATATTAGGATTGGTAGCATCCGATGGCACATGCAACTCAATTTCGGCATTAGTTGCAATACTAAAATTTCAATTTGTGCAAAAATGATAGACAGTAGCACAGAAAATAAAGAAGAGATTTGAAAAAATCAAACACATACCTGCGCTCCTTGAACTGGCTTCTGGCTTTTACCATAATTTATATGCGGCTACTAGAATGTCTTTCAACCTGAGCTTCGACCCATTTGATTTGAAATTTTAATTGAATTTATTTCAAGCGAGCGGCTCAGGTTTGTTGCTGACGTTGGCCCAACTAACAGTGACATTTTGGCCACTCATCACCTGCGCGTGCCATATAAAAACCACAAGTGGGCCAGTGTCCAGTTGTCTTCTTTTCCTCGTGTGGACTCCACGTGCTGCTAGTATTTTATTCTCGACAATTGTGATTGCTTCCATACAATAATAATCATCATATGAACAATTGAGAGTTTATGCACAACACCTGAAGTAACATGCGTATACTTCGAACGGGTCGTTTGAGATGTCAAGGACATAGTAGAGTTCCCGTCCAAATAGATCGACTTGTTCGAATGTCTTCTACATTTTGAACTTGTTTGAGTCCCATTATTTTATAAAAATGTTTTTTAATTGGAAAGGTTTGGGACCTCTACTACAATTATCCCTAATTTTTATCAACCTTACAACTGTACTTTATGAAGTGTTTGAGCCCTGTTATTTTCTTAGAATGTATTTTGAAATAGTATATTAATAGAAAATGTGTGGTTAAAAAATAAAGAAAAATTTTGAATTTATGTGTAACATTATTTCATTGTAAAGAAGAGAGAAAAATGTATTTTGTAAAAAATGAAAATCAAACAAGGGCTAATCAAATTTTATAAAACCTTATTAAAATCTGGTTCTGCGCAAAACAAAACAGGGCTTTCAAAAAGCAAAACCAAAAGCAGTCAAGAAGCTACCAATACTTTTATCCTAACTCTACAATAAATTAGGCGCCTGTTTGTTTCACAATATTTTAACAGGAAAATGGATTTTTTGACGCTTTTTTCAAATAAGTGGGTCTCACTGTGAGACAAATTGATCAAAAAAGGCGGCATTCGATGTAGCAACGATGAAAATTGTCATTATAATTGGAAACAAACAGGGGCTAGGACATGAAATTTACCAAGAATACTGGTCTAATCACCAATAGCTTGACAATTAAAACAAAATATCTCTCTTTTTCTTCTTTCTCAATCTCGTCAAATTTTGAACACATCTGTTTGGAAATGCTTATCATACAATTGCCAATGATCATATCTTTCTGCATTGTACACAGAACTCGGGATATAGTTGGGCTTCTTGATATATTTCAACTTCATCAGATGATGATGCTGTTGTAATATCACAACTGGTCACATTCGCAATTCTAGATAGATCAACGTGCTCGAGGTCCAGATACATCCTTCAGATATCAGAGCAAGCCCTTTGATTGTCAACTTGGGAGACCCGAAGTTCAATTTGCAAATTGAATTCCTAGCCTGGGGACAGGCCTTTAGATACTCATTTGGAACATATCCAGCATGTCGGAAAGGATCCAACCAATTCATCAGATTCCGCCTACTAATTTGCAAGTTAGGACAATGCGATCTGAATGTTGCCAAAGACTTGTGAGACATTTCATAACAGTAGTTGATATCAAGCTCCTTAAACTTGGGATACCCAAAAGCTATTTCATCCATAACTACATTAGAAACATTAGGACAGCTTTTGATAGATAGCTGTTGGATTGTGTGCTCATATAGGGCTTGTTTGAGTCCCATTTTTGCCTAAAAAAAAAAATGCATTTTTGAATTGTGTATTGAATCTATTAATGGGAAATTTGTGGTTTCAAATTTGCTGTGATATTTTTTTATTTAAGAATATATGGTTGAAAAAGTTAGAATCCATCAGCATTCAGCCACCTTCAGCTACGGTTATGAGGAGCAGACATCATCATGTTGCAGCTCCTTAATTTCAGGATTATAGAATCTATGTTGTTTGCCAGCTGTAGAGTTAGTTAGTAGTATTATTCTAGATCATTCTCAGCTCATGTATATAGTTGTGTAATCCGCCTGATTAAAAATACTTTTGGAGCAATCATTTTATCATGTTTCTTTACTTGGTATCAGAGCCTTACAATGGCTAACACCAACTCCGAAAATCAGTCCAATCCATCTGAGTTTAATACAGCTCCAATGACTCAGGCTGTGGCCACCCAGAACACAGCATTTGGAATTACTATCAATCAAATACCATCAGTGAAGTTAGATATGAATAACTTCCTATTGTGGAAAAATATGATTATGCTTATAATCAAATGGCATAATCTTGAAGGGTACATATTGGGGACAAAGTTGTGTCCACTAGAGTTTCTAGCAACCCAGACGGCTGTTGGTCAGGGAGAGTCTGTAGAAATGACTCGAAACTCAGAATTTCAGAAGTGGAATTCAGCATATTAGCTTCTTATGGGGTGGTTATACTCATCCATGACTCCAGAAATAGCCATGAAGGTCATGGGATGCACGAGTTCAAACAAGCTCTGGTTAGCAGTCGAAGAAAGCTTCGGAATACTGAATAAGTCACGAGTCATGTTCCTCACTGGTGAGCTGCAAAGAACTAGGAAAGGAACAATGACAATGGACCAGTACTTAACCACCATCAAGCAGTTGGCTGACAATCTGGAAATTGCTGGCAAAATCATTGATCAAAGTGATCTAATTGCTCAGGTACTTTCTGGCTTGGATGAGGAGTACACACCCATAGTAGTACAGATAAGCAGCAGGGAAACTATCTCCTGGCATGAACTATCCTCAGTACTCATGACGTTTGAGAGTCGACTGGAGTACCTAAATCAGGTCAGGACCAATTTCATCTCACTCAATGTGAATCTATCAAGTGTACAATTAGCACATCGAATTGGTTCCGGTGTTGGTAGAAGCTTTAGAGGAACTGGTATGGGCATATCTCCTAATTTTAGAGGCAGGACAAGGGGCAACGGTAGAACTGCAATTGGCAGGCAAAATGAAACTAGAGGCCTTGTCAAATCTGTGGATTAAACAACCACTCTGCAAGCTATTGTTATAACAGATTTGATGAAATGTATATGGGAAGAAACCAGCACATTCAGGACAACAGAACTTCAGTGCAGCCCCTTCAGTGAAATATGAAGGTAAAGAGAAACTTTTTGTTGGTAATGGAGTTAAGCTAACTATAGCTCACATTGGAAATGGAAAAATTACTGCAATTGGTAGGCAAAATGAAGCTAGAGGCCCTTGTCAAATCTATGGATTAAGCAACCACTCTGCAAGCTATTGCTATAACAGATTTGATGAAAGGTATATGGGAAGAAAACCAGCACATTCAAGACAGCAGAACTTCAGTGCAGCCCCTTCAGCCTATATAGCATCTCCCAGAATCCTTGATGATCCAGCTTGGTATGTTGACTCTGGTGCTAGCAATCACATGACAGCAGACATAGGTAAATTGGATACTATGATGAAATATGAAGGTAAAGAGAAACTTCTTGTTGGTAATGGAGATAAGCTAACTATAACTTACATTGGAAATGGAAAAATTACTGCATCTGATAATGTCACTAGGCTTAAATAAACTGCTACACGTTCCTTCAATCAAACGAAATCTGATTAGTGTTTCCCAGCTAACAAATGACAATGATGTGTTCATGGAATTTTACTCTAATTGTTGTATGGTGAAGGACCTCCAAACGAAGAAGATTCTGTTGCAAGGAGCTCTTAAGGATGGATTGTACCAGCTGCAGTTGTCAACCTTAAAGCCATAAAGAATTACCTTCGAGCCAATACCAGTTCAAAATAATTTTCAATGCTTTACAGCCAAGTCTAGTAGTAATGAAAGGCTTTCAGTTAAATCTATTTCAGGATCTGAACTTGATCTTTGGCATAGAAGGCTAGGACATCCCTCAAACAATGTGTTAAAACAAGTCCTTGAGTCATGTAATAAAGATAGAAAGTTAAATGAATTTCCTACTTTCTGTGACTCTTGCAAACTCGGAAAGTCTCATGCTCTTCCTTTTAACATTTCATCTTCACATGCTACAAAACCACTAGATCTCATTCATGCTGACGTCTGGGGTCCAACCCCTTTAAATTTTACCACAAGTTTTAGATATTACATAGCCCTTGTGGATGACCATAGCAGATTTACATGGATCTATCCTATGAGACACAAATTCGAAGCCTTAAACACCTTCACTCAGTTCAAAAAACTTGTAGAAAATAAGTTTGAGAGGAAGATTAAGACCCTGCAGTCTGACTGGGTGGGGAATTCAGAAGCTTTACTAAAATAGGTTTGGAGTCAGGTATAGAACTCAGGCACTCCTGCCCTCACACTTTAGTTCAAAATGGAAGAGTTGAACGTAAATATAGGCATGTCACAGAGACTGGCCTAACCCTCCTAGCGCAGGCTCAAATGCCACTCTACTATTGGTGGGAGTCCTTCAAGGCTGCCACTTACCTTATTAACAGGCTGCCTACTCCTGTCTTACACTACAAATCACCATATGAGACTCTGTTTAACAAGAATTTTGATTATAATCAGCTCAAAACCTTTGGTTGTGCCTATTTTCCATGTCTCAGACCCTATCAGAAACATAAGTTTAGCTTTCACTCTAAAAAATGCATCTATCTTAGCTATGGTGACTCACACAAAGGCTATAAATGTCTAAGTCCTAGTGAGAGAATTTATGTGTCTAGACATGTTGTTTTTAACGAGCTAGAGTTTCCATTCAAGGCAGTTTTCCTAAATAAACAAACTCATCATCAGTCTTCTGTCACTGAAATAAGCTATCTTCCTTTCATTGATCCTAACATTCACACTATGACTTCAATTACAACTGCAACTTCTACAATACAACCTGAAGTCTCCCTTGCAACAGATCCCTTTAATGGAGAGTCAGAATGTGTAATTGAAGGAGGTGTGTTGGAACATCTTGCCAATGAGGGAAACCAAGAGTTATTAATAGGAAATGAAACATCAGAAGCCTTACCTGATACTCAGAATGTGATAGAAGGAATAAGTCTATCAGGTAGGAATGTACCACTGAATGCAGGTCACCAAATGATTACCAGGAGCAAAGCTGGTATTTTTAAACCAAAAATCTATACCACTGTGACATCAAATGAACTGGCTGCAGTTGAACCAACCAGCACTGATGAGCCTTAACAAGCAGCTGTTGGGTGAAGGCAATGGAGAAAGAATATAGTGCCCTCATGAAAAATGAAACATGGATCTTGGTGCCACCCAAGGCAGGGATGATAATCAGTGGTAATAAATGGGTATTCAAGTTGAAACGTAATGAAAAAAGAGAGGTGGTAAGGCACAAGGCCATGCTTGTTGCAACGAGTTTTCTTCAAACACCTGGTGTTGATTTCAGTGAGACCTTTAGCCCCGTAATCAAGGTGCCACACTGAAAGTTAATCTAACTCTTACTGTTTCAAGAAACTGGCAGATCAGGCAAGTAGATATTAATAATGCTTTCCTTAATGGTAGCTTGACTGAGGTTGTTTACATGAACCAACCACAAGGTTTCAAAAATGAAAATCATCCTGAATATTTTGCGAACTTAAGAAGGCTCTGTATGGCCTTAGACAAGCACCTAGGGCCTGGCATGATAAATTAAAACATACCCTGCTGCAGTGGGAATTTAGGCAATCTAAGGCTGATAACTCACTATTTTTTTCTGACAAAAGGAACTGATATCTTGTTTGACCTGATATACGTAGAAAATATAGTGATTACAGGCAATAACATTCAACAGCTACAAGAGTTTATAGACAAATTGAACTTCAGTTTTGCACTTAAGGATATGGGGAATCTGGAGCAATTCCTGGGAATTGAAGTTGAGAGAGATGATGCTGGTTTATATCTAAGGCAAACCAGATATACTATTGAATTGCTAAGGAGGTTTAACTATGAAAATCTAAAGCCTAGCCAAACTCATATGGCTACAGGTAAACTGATTTTCAAAACCAAAGGTCAAGCTATGAAAGATCCTACCTTGTTTAGAAGTGCAATTGGTAGCCTCCAGTATCTTGCTCACACAAGACCTGACTTGACTTATGCTATAAATCAGTTAAGCCAGTTTCTTCGAGCACCAACAGACTCTCATTGGAAGGCACTTAAAAGGGTTTTCAGATACCTAAAGGGCACCTTGCATCATGGTCTAACAATCAAGAAAAATGGCAGCTTTAACATCACAGCATTTGCAAATTCCGACTGGGGTTCCTGTCTAGATGATAGGAGATCCACTGCTGGATATTGTGTCTACCTTGGAGATAATTTGGTGTCATGGTGCTCCAAGAAATAACATGTGGTGGCCAGGTCCAGTACAGAGGCCGAATACAGAGCTTTAGCTCATTGTGTAGCAGAAATTACCTGGATTCAGTCATTGTTTGAAGAACTTGAAATACCATAGAAAGCAGTCCCTGTTATCTGGTTTGATAGCCTAAGTACAAGTGCTCTAGCATCAAATCCCGTCTACCATGCTCGCACAAAACACATTGAACTAGATGTACATTTTGTAAGAGACAAAGTATTGGATAATCAGTTGAAGATCAATTACATTCCTTCTTCTGATCAGACAGCAGATGTGTTAACCAAGCCTATGTCGCATTCAAGGTTTCAACTTCTAAGGAACAAGCTTGGAGTGATCAAACACACTCCA